AAAACAACTCGTTAAAAATTAGAATTGGGCAAGTAGAAGCTAATAACTCTGTGAGAGAGTGAGAATCAGTGAAACAGAAACAAAGGAATGAAAAAATAGATGAAAACAGGCGGAGCCAAAATGGAGAAGTAAAAGCAGTGACTTGCTTGAGCTCTCCCCCAAACCCCTCCAAATACCTGTAAAAAATAGCTTTAAACAAATTCTAGAGCAGCAGAACCCACAAAAAGATAGAATGAAACAAATTTCCAGCCCAAGACAACCTGGATGGTTGATTGGAAAGGTCTATTGCACCAGTCTGGGAGAGGAGTGCCCAGTTCAGCATGGGCCAAGCAGGCAAAGACCGGGCCTCAGTGAACCTGGAGCAGGCCTCGGGACTGAATCACAGGCAGCTGTAGTGGTTTCCAGATCAGGTTTCTCTCACTGTGGTGAGAGAGAAGCACAGTCCCAGCCCCAGCCCCTGTGCAGCCCTAGGGCAACGGCTGCTTCCACAGCTCTCAGCTCACAGACTGAAGGGGAATCAAGTGGCTGATCAGAGGGGGATTGCAAGGATCGTTTTGCTGGTGCCGAGGCAGGAATCTCTTACTTTGCCTGTGCTTAGATCTGGGTCGCAGTTCTGGGTGGTGGTCCTAGGGCAAGGAGGAGTGCTGGTGTGGTGGAGCTTGTAGTGGTGATGGAAAGGGAATCCTCCTCACAGTTCCAAGGCAGAAAAGAGTGCTTGTGGTCACCCATAGACCAGAGCCCAGGGCAGGAAAGGAGTAAATACCTCACCCTTGATCATACTACCTTGGAAGAACAGAAAATTTACAGGTGCCTAGAATTGTCTCTGAAAACAGCTGCACAAAACCCCCCGAAGCTTGGAACAGTACACCCCTACATTAACAAACCTTAACAAAGAGTTTAAAACTCAAGTAATTGGCTGGGGACATGAGTAATCTGCACAAAAAAGTCAGACCATAGAATCTTTCTTTGGTGACAAAGAAGATCGAAACATACAACCAGAAGAAGACAACAAAGTCAAAGCTCCTACATCCAAAGCCTCCAACAAAAATATGAATCAGTCCCAGGCCATAGAAGAGCTCAAAAAGGGATTTTGAGAAGCAAGTAAGAAAAGTAGAGGAAAAACTGGGAAGAGAAATGAAAGTGATGCAAGAAAATCATTAAAAACAAGTCAACAGCTTGCTAAAAGAGACCCAAAAAAATACTGAAGAAAAAAAAATAGATGAAAACGTAAAATACATCGGTAAAACAACTGACCTGGAAAATAGATCCAGGAGAGACAATTTAAAAATTATTGGTCTACCTGAAAACCATGATGAAAAAAAGAGCCTGGACAGCATCTTTCAGGAAATCATCAAGGAGAACTGTTCTGAGGTCCTAGAACCAGAGGGTAAACTAGCCATAGAAGGAATCCACCAATCACCTCCTGAAAGAGATCCCAAATTGAAAACATCAAGGAATATAGTAGCCAAATTCCAAAATTACCAGGTCAAAGAGAAAAGACTGCAAGCAGCCGGAAAGAAACAATTTAAGTATCATGGAACCACAGTCAGGATTACATAGGACCTTGCAGCTTCTACATTAAAAAATCGTAGGGTGTGGAATACAATATTCTATAAGGCAAAGTAGCTTGGATTACAACCAAGGATCACCTACCCAGCAAAAAAGAGCATAATCTTTCTGAGGAGGAGATGGAAATTCAACGAAATAGGGGACTTCCAAACCTTCCTGATAAAAAGAAATGGTGAGCAGGTGAACTTCAGAAAAAGCTGGAAAGACATGAAATGATGCAAAGTAAGGTGAGCAGAATCAGGAGAACATTGTGCATAGTAACAGTGCAATGACTAACTTTGATGGACTTAGCTCTTCTCAGCAATGCAAGGATCTAAGACATTTCCAAAAGACTCATGATGGAAAATACTGTCCACATCCAGAGAGACAACTATGGAGTCTGAATGCACATGGAAGCATACTATTCGTTCTCCTTTTCCTTTGATGTTTTGTTTTGTTTCTTCTTTCTTAGGGTTCCTCCCATTGGTTCTACTTCTTCTTTACAATTACAACATGACTAATGTGAAAATATGTTTAATAGGAATGAATTTGTAAAACCTATATCAGATTGCACTGGGTCTTGGAAAGGAGGGAGGGGAGGGAGGGGGAGAAAATTTAAAACTCAAAATCTTATGGAAGTGAATGTTGAAAACTAAAAACAAATTAATTTATAAAAAAAAAAACAAAATAAGGAATTTCAGAAGAGGAGTGACTTCTGGGGTGAAAACAGTAAATTTTGTTTTGACCATAAGATAATAGATTGAGAGCTGAAAGGGTCCTTGGACAACTTGTCCAACTCCCTTACTTAACAGAAGAGGAAACTGAGGCATCAAAACATAGTGTGACTTGCCAGGAACCACAGAGGCAGCATCCCTGGCAGCATTCCTAAGTTCCAGTTTGGGCCTCTTCATCCATCATACCACCTTGTTGCTTTTCAGTTGTTCAGCTCTGTCCCTCTTCATAACGCAGTGGATCATATCACACCAGCACTGTCCGTGGGGGTTGTTGACAAAGATACCAGAGTGGTTTGCAGTTTCCTTTTCCAGTATTACATCACATAGCTGCCTCAAAATTCAAAGTTCAAAATATCTTTTTTGGGTGTCCCCTCTCCCTAGCTGTGCCCATTCAAAGCACACCCAACTGGTATACTGGAGATTCTTGCCTGGCTGGCCTCATAGTGAAATCTTACATTCCTCCAATGCTTTTCTTGATAGATTGGGAGTCAGGAAATCTGGGTCCTAGTCCTGGCCCTGTTATTCCCTTCTCTTAATCCAGTTTCTTCTTCCTCTTCTAGGACAGTGAGTTCTTTTCACTTTTTTTTAAAGGTTTAAAAAAACCTTCAAAAAGGTTTTGAAAAAATAGGGGAGGGGGAACCGGTAAAGTGGGATGGGTCTGGACCCTGTGATTTTATATGTTTTACACTAGGAAACTCCTGGTGTGAAACATCCTCCTAGTCCCAAGCAGATCTGCAACTCATCTGAATTCTTCAAGATAGTTGCCTGAGGCACCCCAAGGTTACGTGTCTTGCCAGTGGTTTAAGCTAGTATGTATCAGAGATGGGAACTGATCCATCCTTTCTCAAATGAGAGAATGTGTGCAAAACACTGCAAGCTTTGGAAATTTATACAAATTAATGTTCTCATACTGAGTATGTGCTTAATAAATATAGAATTGAAAAAATGGAAATAAAACCAGTCTGCTCTCCCTCACAGTTGTTTTGAGAATCAAATGACTTTGTTTTATTTCATTTGTGAGGGAGGAAGAGATGATAGGAATAATTGTTTCCAGATAGGGAAACTGGATTCTCATAAGGATCCTGGGGATGGAAGCCAAGAACAAACTGGAAACTATTGTTTTTGGTGGAGAGAGGTCAGCAGATACGGACTGAATCCCCTGCCCTGCCCTTAACAGTGGAACAGTGACAACTTCTCTGGGACTCATTTTCCTCCTGGAGACTACAGTGTTTCCAAGGTCACTTCTGACTGTCATTTAAAAAAAAAAACAACACTTTTATTTTATCTTGTTTTTAAGTTAACAAGCATTTCTTTCTCTCTCCCGTCTTGAGAAAAAAAAAACCCTCATAAGTAAATATCTATAGTGAAGCAAAACCAGTTCCCACATCCAAAAATATATGTCCATTCTACATTTTGAAGCCATCACCTCCCCGTCAAGAGGTTGGTAGCATGCTTCATCATCTATCCTCTGGAATTATCGTTTTTATTATGTTGATCAGAGTTCCTAAGTCTTTAAAGTTGTTGTTACAATGTTGGTATTGTGTAAATTAGCTTCTGCTCATTTCACTGCATCAGTTTATACAAGTCTTCTCAGGTTTCTCTGAAACCCTAGGGTGTCCTTTAGGGTGAAATGATATTCCATTACATTCATATACCATAATTTGTTAGCCATTTCTCTAAGTGATAAGCAGCTAGGTGGCACAGTGGGTAGAGTGTTGGTTGGGCCTGGGGTCAGGAAGACTCACCTTCCTAAATTCAAATCTTGCCTCAGACATTTAGAGGCTATGTGATCCTGGGGCAAATCACTTAACCCTGTTTGCCTCATTTTCCTCATGTGTAAAATGAGTTGGAGAAAGAAATAGCAAATCTCTCCAGTATCTCTGCCAATAAAACCCCAAATGGGGTTACGAATAGTTGGACGCCACAATTGATGGGCACCGTTCTCCCTTCTAGTTTCTAGTCCTTTGCCCCTACCTTTTTGTAGCAGCTATAAATATATTTAGATATTTAGAAACTTTAACTCCTGCTTTTATTTCTTTGGGGTATAGGCTTAGTAGTGATATAGCTGGGTCAAAGGGGAAGCAGCCAATCAATCAATCAACATTTATTAAGTACCTAAATGTGCTAAGTGAGGAAGGATATGGCAAACCACTCCAGTATCTGACAGGAAAACTTCAAATGGGATCATGAAGAGTTGGACAGGATTGAAACTACAGAAAAACAACAATTATGTGCCAGGCATTGTGCCTGCCCTCAAGGAGCTTACAATCTAACGGGGACACAACAAGTAAACAAATGTGTAAAAGCAAGTAGAAAGTAATTAGGAGAGGGAAGGCACCGGAATGAAGAAGGGTTGGGGAAGGCTCCACTAAAGGCTGCTTCCCGCTCCATCACCCGCCCGGTGCATTCTTGCATCCACTTGGCAGACCTGAAGCGGGGGAGAGTACCTTTTTCACAAGCCTCAGGTTCCCGTCCCCGCCCCTAACCTTTCACGCTCCTCCCTTCCTTCCCTTCCTCGTCAGTTTCCACCCCGCCCACCTCGAGTTCAGGCACCGCCCCTGCCCCTCCCCTTCCCTCCCCCTCCCCCTCCCGGCGGCTCTCGCGAGGTCAGGAGACGGAAGTCTGGTGCGCTGCGGGACTAGCGCCGCCGCACGTGCGTGGTCTCCGCGGTTGTAGCCGCTCGGGCTGCCGGGGCTTTAGGGGCTGAGAGCGGGCGTCATGGGGAAGCTGCGGCGGCGCTTCAACGTCAAAGGGCGGCAGCAGCCGCCGCCGGGGCCCGAGCCTGAGCGGCAGGGCGTCCAGGTGCAGCTGGAGCTGGACGGTAAGGGCTCCCTGAGTGGGCCTTCCCTTCTCTGAACCTCGGGTTACTCCTCCGTAAATGGGAGCTGCGTTCTCGGAGTGCCTGCCCTTCTCTTGGCCTCAGTTTACTCATCCGTGAAATGGGCACAAAGAAGCTGTGTTCTCCGAGTGCCTTCTCTCCTCGTGGCCTCAGTTTACTCATCTGTAAAACGGGCACAAAGAAGGTGCGTTCTCTAAGTGCCTTTCACTCCTTGAGCCTCGGTTTACGCAATGGTGATTAAGGTTAGGTAAAAAAAATGAGACAAAGAATGGCCCGTTTAACAACAACTTAATCTTGAAATGGGCATAAAAGAGCTGTGTTCCCTAAGTACCTTCACCTCCCTGAGCCTTGGTTTACGTCTCTGTAAAACAGGAATAGAGGAGCTTCTGCCTCTTCATTTCTTTCTCTTTTCTGGGCCTCAGTTTACTAATCTGCAAAATGGAGTTAAGGATTCTGTGTCCCCTGAGTCTCATCATTTCTCTGGACCTCAGTTTACCAATCTGTGAGATGGGGATGTAGATAATTTGCCATCTGTCTTGCTTCACTGGGTTGGCCGTGTGGAAAACATTTTGTCTCTTGAACCCTTAGAGAAATGGGAGGGGTGAGTGAGGACTATCATTATTATTATTGGCTACATGTGACCCTGGACCAGTCACCTCTCTTAGAGCCAGCTTGACATCCTTGTGACCACTTAGATGTCTCCATGGCTTTGGGCTGTGGGTTTATCAGATCTGTCAGAGCAGCTCCTAGAATCACAGATTCTCAGAGTTGGAGGAGATCCTGGCATCGTAGATTTAGACCTAGAAGGCATCTTAGAGGTCATCGATCCAGCCCTGACATTTTACAGATGAGGAAACTGAGGCCAGAGAGGTGATGTGGGCCCTCCCAGAGTTCCAGAAGTAGTGGGTGGCCGTGCTGGCATTTGAATCTAGGTCCTGAGTCCAGACCTGACATTCTTGAGACTGAGCTTCCCTAGAGTAGGGAATGTCTTTTTCCTCTCCTTGTATGCCCAGTGCCTGGCACATAGTAGGCCCTTAAATGATAGTAGACTGTCTCTGAGCAGACCCTTCCATGGGAGGCTCACAGTTTACCCTCTTTTTAAGCCCAAATATTTGTCTCTGCAGCTTCTCTTTCCTTCCGGGACCACAAAATAAGTCTTCATTTCCCTCTCAAATGACCTTCCAGATACTTGAAGATTTGCCATTCCTAACCTCTTCCATCGCTATTCCCCCCCAGTCTTCTTTCCTCTGTGCCTTTGGCTGACCCTCCTCTAGGTCCAAGATTCTGATCCAAACGCTATCCCAGCCCCATTTCCTGTTGTTACCGTTGTCCCCAAAGTGTGGTGCCTGGAACGGACCACCTCACTCTAGAAGAAGCCTCCCTGGGCAGAGAACAGAGATGGGTCCTCTCTGTCAGTTTGTGGTCGTGACCATGGGCCTTTCTTAATGCAGCCTGACATGGCGATCCTAGCATGCTATTCAGCACCACACAGCTGGCTTACTCTGTTTGCACACCCCTAAAATCCCGTTTTTTCTACTCAAATTGTTACCTAAATACATTTCTCCCATTCTTGTATGGTGATTTTATTTCTGAACCAAAATATGTGTGTATATGAAGATGTGTGTATATATGTATATATACATGTGTGCGTGCATGTATATATGTATGCCTATATATGAGGTTGTTTATATTACATGAACATGTGTGTATATGTGTCTGCACACACATATGCTCACATATATTATATGTGTGCATTTATATACACAGTGGCTCAGTGGATAGAGCACTGAGCCTAGAGTCAGGAAGACCTGAGTTCAAATGTGGCTTCAGATTCTTACTAGCTGTGTGACCCTGGGCAAGTTACTTCACCCTGTTTGCCTCAGTTTCCTGATCTGTCAGATGAGCTAGAGAAGGAAATGGCAAACCACTCCAGTACCTTTGCTGAGAAAACCCCAGATGGGGTCTTGGAGAGTCAGACACGACTGAAATGATAGAACAATATGCACACACACTAATAGGTACTTTTGTGTATGTATGTAGGTAGTGCAGTGGATAACTTGGGCTTGAAAGAGCTGAGTTAAAATCTGGCTTCTAACACGTACCGACTTTGTGACTCTGGGCACATCATTTAACCTCTACCTACCTCAGTTTCTTCTGGTGTAAAATGGGGTTAATAGTCCCTGCCTGCCAGAATTGTGAGGATCCAATCAGGTAGTTGTGAAGGGCTTTGCAAACCTTAAGGCACTGTGTTAAGTGCTAATTGTTGTTGTTGTTGTGATTATTATAAAAGTGAATGAGGTGGACTAATGATCTCTAAGGTCACTATCAATCAACAAAAATGTATTAAGCGCCTATTGTGTGCCCTGCTAAGTGCGGGGCTCTACAAAAAGAAGCAAAAGACAGCCCCCTGTCCTCAAGCAGCTCTCAATCTAATGGTGATGCTTTCTGTCTTGAGGGGCTGCTGTCCTAGAGATGCTGCTGCCTCTTATCCCTGGCTTCCTACTTCCTGCAGCTCTTCTCCCCCTCCCAGGGTCCTCTCCACTGTGTCATGCCTTAGGAATCCTCCACTTAGAGTGGAAGGGACCTCTCTCATTTTACGAATGATGGAGGGGCCCGAGGGTAGCTGGGTAGGAGGCATCAGAGTGGGGGGATTCCAGCGGTGGCAGCTTGAGCTCTCCTCCCGAAGTGAAATGGAACCAGTAATGGCCCCTGAGTGAGCCCAGCCCTTCAGCCGGTCCTAAGTCCACCTAAGTATATGGTATCTCCAAGCCCATCTCCTCTCCTTTTCCACAAGAGTAGCATGAGCTACTTTATCTGAGCCTTTGCTAAAATCTAGGTCAACCCCGACTCTAGTGTTCCCTTGGTCTCTCTGCCTAATTAGTTGGCCCATCAAAACAAGGAAATAAAGTTGTCCCGGTGTGATTGGATAATTGGTTCTTCTCATATAAAATCCTTCCCAATATTCACATCTTTGCCATCTGCATGCTTGGGCTCCTGGGGCAACGCCGGACTTTGGCCCTTCCCGTTCTGTGACCGTCCAAGCTGGCCGGGTCGATCCTGAGGCCTCTGTGGGCTGGGAGGACTCAGGCACGGATGTCCTTCCAGACAGGGGCCTGTGGAAAGGAGTGGATGAGAGCAACGCGCTTGTCCTGCCTGGACGGAAAGAGAAGAAGAAGAAGAAGGCTACGCCCACCTCCAAGAAGGAGAAGAGGCCCCTGACCAAGAAGGAGAAGAAGCTCCTACAGAAAGTGTTGGAGCAAAAGAAAAAAAAGAACCAGGTATGACCCTCCCCCCACCGCCTTTGGGGGCGAGGTGGGCGCCGAGGCCCCTGCAGCCGTGGCCCTTCTCGGCCCTTGGAAGTGCTGTAGAAATGGTGGTTCTGGTGGTGGTGGCAGTTTTGGTGGCATTCATGTAGAACGGTGCTGGGGCAAGTCACTATCCTGCTATTATTCTTTTAATGGTTCATATTCTGTAGACTGAAGCATAGGGGTATAAAGTAATGGCTTTTCATAATTGAATGAAATTATGCAATTGTAATTGAATGAAAAGGTAGAAGCTCATCTTCTGTAGGCTCACTGCCTGCATCTTCTTGATGAGCAGCTGGCAGAATGAGAGGGGCCGTGTTTATTCCTCTCTGTATCCCCAGTACCTGGCAGGGTGGTTCCCTGTCCTTGGTAGGTGATGAGTAAGTCTTTGGGTGAATGAATGAATCAAACGGTCCAGTGAATGAATGAATGATCCAGTGATCCAATGAATGAATGAATGAACAAATACTTCCCAAGCTAATGGGTATGAGGCCCTGTGCCTGAGCTCCCTCCTGTCAAGGCCTGGCTGTGGTTATCCTAACTTGAGGTCTTGCCCACAGGACTTGAGAGCCCGCCCTTGAGCCTCTTCTCCCTGGGGCTGGGGGTTACTAATTCTACAAAGCCATCTTCCGAGACAGCCTGGGCCCTTAGGCCCAGTCACCTTGCAGGCCCATCTGGAAGGAGAATCATCGCCATGCCTGGCTCTCTCCTGCTTTGTTAGAATGTTTCCCTGACCACTTCTCTGAAGTTTTGCTCTGACATCTCTTTTTCTTTCCCACTCACTTGAAGGGGTGGGGAAGGACAGTATCCCCACGTGGATGACCTCATTTTTCTCCCCACTTTCCTCCAGCGAGCCGAATTACTGCAGAAACTGAGTGAAGTCCAGGCTTCCGAGGCAGAAATGCGACTTCTGTATACCACTTCCAAACTGGGGACTGGTGAGCGAATGTACTGCAGCAAAAGGTGAGGTACCCTCTGGCTTGGACCTCCCGCTGCCCGTCGGGAGGGCCCCTTTCAGGCCAGAGTGTGGGATGGCATGCCAGAGGCCAGGCTGTAGCTCACCTGGTTGAATTTGTTTGCAGATGCTCAAAGGGAGAACTGCCTGTGGGAATTGTGTTGGGAAACGTATGTATATCTGTGATTGTGTGCTTATAGGCAAGTGTATATGTTGGAAAATGTATGGATGGATAGTTGTATCACCATACACACACACACACATATACACATGTGTGTACATATACACACACACACACACGTATACATATTTATGTAATTACTTTTTTCTGTAAATCTGAGAAAAGCTTCAGGGCTGATGAAAAGAAAGCTAGTCTTGGACTCAGGAGAGATTGAGTTTGAATTCTGCCAGTGGCCCTTACTAGCTGTACGACCCTAGGAAAGCCACTTCATTTTTTATGTTCTCGTGTTTCCTCATTATGGGTCATCTTTATCTTGTTTCCTTAAGGTTTGCAAGGCACTTTCCCTGTGTTACCTCATTTTAAATCTTACAACAACCTTGTGAGTAGGTGCTCTTCATTGTACAGGGAAAGAAAAAGAGGCACGGTACCTGCCACAGATTAGGAGCTTAATAAATGGTTTTTGATTAGAAAGGCCAGGTGATTCAGTAGCATTTATGTAGTGCTTTCAAGCTTACAAAGTGCTTCACACGTATTTCATTTGATCCTCACAATAATCCCATGTGGTAAGTGTTATTATTACCCTATTTTATAGTTGAAGAAACTGAGGCAAACAGGTTGAGTGATTTACATAGCTACTAAGTATCTGAAGTTGGATTTGAACTCAGGTTTTCCTGGCTTCAGGCCCAGTACTCTCCACAACTGTGCCACCAACTGCCTTGTCCAGAGTTACAGATAGCCTGAGGCAGGATTCAGACCAGTGTTTCCTGACTCCCAGCCTGACCTTTTACCCAGCATTACTACCTGTTACCAGGCAATAATCAATGTCAGTTATTTTTATAAATAGTAATCATTTACTTTGATCATTAATAATGATGTGAATACAATGAATAATTTTATTATTAAGAATAACAATAACCTTTTTTTAACTTCTACATAAATGATGTTTCTGGGGACAAATGTGTACGCCCTATTGAGATGTTAGCGGTGGGCACGAAGAAATAAAAGGAGGCTGCAGAGGTTTGCCATCTAGGCAGCATGGCCTGATAGTGGGGAGGGCCAGGAAGACTTGGGTTCAGTGGTGCCTCGGACATTTGCCAGCGGGGTGACTTCCAGACACGTCACGTAATCTCTCTCAGCCTCAGTTTCCTCATCTGTAAGACGAGGGGTTGAGCTTGAGCTCTGGGCTCCCTTCCAGCTCTAAATCTGATGTCCTATAATCCCATGCCCTATACCTTGTGGTGGGTGGGTGTGTGTTTGTGTGTTGGCCCAAGGCTGTGGCATATGGAGGAGGAATGGGGGAAGGGATGTTCTGGTGGTAGTCCTGGTCCATAGGACCACCCTGGTCATATAACTGCAGGGCCAGTCACTGACTTCCATACCAGAGAATCTCAGTATATTGACCACACAGTTAGTATTGTTCCAGGCAAGATTTGAATTCAGTTCTTTCTGACTCCCAAGTCCACCTGGCTCTGTCCCTTGATCCATATGATTTATCCCCTTGCCCCTCCAGGAAGGCAGAAGAGACTGGACCTGGGGGTCCGGAGAAGATTAGTAGCCTCAGCGGTGCCCACAGAAAAAGACGAAGGCCGCCGTCAGAAGAGGAGGCTGAGTCCTCCAGCGAGGCCGAGACAGGGAGCGAGGCCGAGGGCTCGGAAACCCTGGCACCGGCTGGAGTTGGTGCAGAGGCTGAGCCAGCGGCCGTGAAGCCTGCCGAGCCCGTCGCCGAGGACGAGAGCTCTCTCTCCGGCCGCCAGCCGGCCCCCACGCTGGCACCTCCTCTCCCTCCTCCCCCCGCCTCCCAAGCGCCGTCTGCAAAGCCGGCCATTTTCGTCCCGGTGGACCGCTCTGCCGAGATCCAGGTTGGTCTCTGCTCGTTCCTGGCTTCTCCTCTGTGAAATGAACGCAGTGGACTGGGTGACCTTGAAGGTCCTGGTCAAGCCTAACGCTGTGGTGCTGCTTGGAAACCATCTTGGTGATGGTTACGATGCTGGTTCATGTGGCGCCTGAAGGTTTGCAACGCCCTTCACACGTTATCTCTTCTGATCTTCACAGCCACTCTGCAGCGTGGGGGCTGCTCCTCTTCTTTTACAGATGGGGAAACTGAGGCTGAGGCCTTGCCCGTGGTCAGCAGCTATAAGTGTCCCAGGCAGGATTCATCCTCAAGTCTTTCTGACTCCCAGGTTCAGCTGGCTCTCCACTGGGCCTCTAGCTGCCCACCATATTTATTAAGGGCCCACATGTAGACCCTTAATAAATGACTGTTGACTAGACTTGGAATTGGATCGAGAGTGATCAGAGCTAGTATATTCCTAGAGGACGTGCCTTCCTACAGAAAGGAGAGGAGCTGTGTGCCGCTGTCTAGAAACAGGAAAGCAGAGGGACGTTTAGGTTATTTTGTGGCCAAGTCTGGATTCTTCCCATGAGTCCTCAGCTTTGTCAGTACCCCAGAATCCACAGGAATTCATCTGGCATTTATAGAGCACATTAATTCTGTAAAGCCCTTTACACCGGCCGTCTCGTTTTTTCCTTCTGGTGTTAGCCCATGATGTGGGTCCCCCAGTATTTTATTATCCCTATTTTATGCCAAAGCAGTAGACTCAGAGATGAAGTGATCTATTCATAGTCACCCGGCTGAAGAGTGTCAGAGCAGGATCCTAGAGCCCCAGAATTTCACTTATGGACGGGACCTAGGTAGATAGATGATATAGATACACACACAGTCGTTGGAGATAATCAATCTTGGAAGACCAGTCTGTGTCTTAAAGGACAGAAGTTCAGATGATTGAAAAAGGCTGTCATGTTCCCCGAGCCTTCTCTCCTCCATATTAACATCCCAAGTATCTTCAGACCTTACATGGCCTAAACGAGGATCCCTTTGCCATACTGGTTGCCCTCGTTGGGACACTAATGGAGTACCCGGTACTCTGGATGCAGTTTGACCATGTAAAGTGAAAATGGACCATCACTTCCTTGAAACTAGGCCCTTCTTTTTTTTTTTATCATGGGTTTTAATAGTCAAAACAATGCACTTTCATGCATACATACATAGTAATACTGCAGCCTGTCTAAGGAAAGTGCTAAGGGCAGGAAAAAGTTGAGAAATATCCAGATAAGCAGTCTTCCAGGAATTGGAGTGCTGGACTAATGTTTTGGTCTTTTGACCTCAACCCCATCAGCCTCCATTTTCTTTCTTTTCTCAGTAGTTGCACTGATCTTTTTCCATTGTCAAACAAGCTTTACATTGTCATTTGTTTCTTTGAAACATCTGGTTTTCCAACCTTCTGACACATCTTGATGGATGCAGCTTTAGGCAAGGCCTCTTTGTTCCTATCTCGCTATACTCTTCCACCGACTCAGCGGTCTCTTCTTGTTACCCTGGTTCATTTTGCTGTGATCCTCGGCCGTGTCATCCATCGTGGCTGGATAGCACTCCGCATAACTGGTGGACGTGCCAAAGAAATCTCCCAGCTGCTTCTTATCTTCTGGTTTCTTCAGTGATTTACCGCCTTCCTAACCAGCGGAACCAGCAGACTCTTCATCATCAGCTCCTTGGCAGATCCAGGACCTTTGTCAGTGTCGATGGGCGCATCATCCACTGTGGGCTTCTCAAAATAGCTGCGTTGCTTCTTCTCCTCTTCTCTTTCCTGATCCTGCTCTCTTTCTCAGTCCTGCCTTAGTCCCATTCTCTTTCTCTCTTCCATTCTCAGTCTCGGTGCCAGTCTCACTCCTGTTCATGATACTGTACCCGTTCTTTTCCCCGTGGAACCTTAGTTGTTGATGGCCCCTCTTAATTAATGTACCCTAAGAATCTAGTGAGATAAATTTTAATTTTTCCAAAAGTATATATTTATTTTGTTAAATATTTGCCAATTACACAATATTTTGTTTTTAGGCAATTGAGATTAAGTGACTTGCCTAGGGTCACACAGCTAGTAAGTGTCAGGTGTTATGTTTGAGGCTCTATTTGAACTCAGATCCTCCTGACTTCAGGGCCGGTGCTGTACCCACTGCCCCAGCTACCTGCCCCCACAAAAAATTTTTTAACATTCGTTTTTAAAAATTTTGATTTCCAGATTCCATGTTCCAAATTCCAAATGCCTGTTCATATCCTTTAACTTTTTTATCCATTGGGCAATGATTCATATTTTTATAAATTTACCTCTGTTCCCTATAGATTTGAAAAATCAGGACTTTATCAGAGAAACTTTCTGTAAAAAATTTCCCCCCCATTTTCCTACTTTCCTTCTAATTTAGGCTACATTGGTTTTGTTTGTGCAAAACCTTTTTAATTTTATATAATCAAAATTATCTGTTTTACTTCATATGATCCTCTCAATCTCTTGTTTGGTTGTAAACTCTTCTCTTATTCATAAATTTGACAGGTAAATTTTTCCCTGCTCCCCTAATTTACTTATGATATCATCCTTTAATGTCCAAATCATTTACCTGGAATGGGTTGAATTTGAATTAGATGGATGATCAGGTTCCTTCCAATTCTGAAATTCTGTTATTCTCTCCAACTAGTCATTGAGGTGACCAGTAATAGACGTACCAAGGCCTGTGTCTGGAAATTCCTAGAGTGGGTGGCTAATAGTCTTGCTTCATTTTTAGGGGAAAAAATTGTGATATTCTGCAAAATAAGTAAAGAAAGAAAATAAATTACATTTTTTCAAATAGATTTTATTTTCTCATTTACATCTGTAATTTCAGAACACCACTGTCTTGGTTTCTGATTGATCTTTGGCTGTAGCTTCTACGGTCAAGGAAGGTAGAGGTCATCTATGCCAACACCCTGATTTATATATGAGGAAAGTGGGCCTCAGGGGGGAAGTGAATGACAGAGGCAGGATTTTAACTTAGGTCTTCTGATTCCAAAGCCAGTACCATAATGCCTGCTTACCCTATCTGCCATTGGCATCCCTGTTTACAGATTAAAGCGTCCTTTCTCAATGCAAAAGATTGCCCTTTGATTTGTCTGCTTTACAAACTCAAATTCAGCAATTCGGTGTGTCTTTTCTTAAAGTGGGGGCCTGCCTTTACTGTTTGGGTCCTGGTTTGGGGAACTTCAGTTGGGGTGGGATGTTTTTAGGGGCCTTGTCTCTGATACAGGCATATTATGGCCAGAATAAAGGTCTTTCCAACCCTTGTTCAGGAGAAGAGCCTGAGGGAGCCAGAGTAGTTTAAGAGCAGAGTAGGAGACTGTGTTTTAGTGGGTAGGCAAGCGAACGTGGAGTCAGGAAAAATTTAGATACTGAAGGGCTGTGTGACCTTGGGAATGTCACTTAATTTCTCTGGGCCTCAGTTTCCTCATTTCTCAAATGAGGGGGTTGACCCATTGACTTCTAGAGTTCTTCCTGGTATAAATATATGATCCTATGACATTTATGTGCCTTGGTTTCCTCATCTTCAAAGTGGGAGGTGGGAGGGGGTAGACCTGGTGGCCTCGCAGAACCCTTCCCACTCCGGATTGGTACTTCTTAAGCCCTGTGAGTCTAGATTTTGATGCTGTTGTTTCTTTTTTAGGAAGCCCGGCTCAAGCTCCCCATTCTTTCAGAAGAGCAGGTGATCATGGAAGCTGTTGCTGAGAACCCCACTGTCATCATATGTGGGGAGACGGGGAGCGGGAAGACCACCCAGGTGCCCCAGTTTCTGTATGAAGCCGGCTATAGCAGGTATATGCCAGATGACACTGTCACAGGGCGTCCCCTGCCCTGGCTTCTCAGGCTCCAGCATGACCGTTAGAAGTGTGCCCAGAGCTCAGTTCTCTCTTTTGAAGTCTTTCTTTCATTGTGGACACATTTGCACAAAGAGGATTTGCTCCTGGGTGGGACTATGGATCCCAGTTTTCTAGGTCCTTGCTAGGGATGGTTTAGTGGGTAAGGCTTAAGGCGTGGGGAGAAGGGAACCATGGCAGAGATAGCTGCTTGATGCCCACTCCAGAGAAAGGTGGATCTGGGCAGCCTCAGCATCACACCTGGCACCATCTTCCCAGGCCTCCTCCTGGCATGGAGGGGCATCAGGTTCTCAGGGGCTGGGTCAGTGGATGGTTGGCTTTGATAGATCCTACCCAGCTAGAGAGACTTAGAGGACAGGCCTAGCCCTGTAGTAAAAGTCACTTAGCCAAGGTCAGAGAGGGTCATCTCCAAAGGGGGCTTCCCTAGGATGAAGTTTTCTGGGCCCCCCCCAAGCTTATGAAGACTCTTTACCAAGGCATAGACAGCAAAATTGACATAAGTTCTACAGAATTTGTTCCCTGACTCAGAAATGGTATCATGTTGGGGGGAGGGGAGATTAGCACTTTATAATTATTATCATTTGATCTTCACAACAACCCTGGGAAAGTCACTTTGCTTCTGTCTGCCTCAGTTTACCCATATTTAAAACAGGGACATATTAATTGCACCTACCTCCCAGGGTTACCCAGCTAGTAAGTGTCTAAGACTGGATTTGAACTCAGGTCTTCCTGACTCTAGGCCTAGTGCTCTCTGCCCAATGGCACCACCAGCCATCTTGGCTAGTACTGAGCTGCTGCGTAATGAGGGGTAACCGCAGCTCCCATCAGAAGGTGGGCTCCTTGCGGACGGGGACTTTTGCCTTTCTTTGTATCTCTATTGCTTAGCACAGTGTGAGATTCATAAATGAATGTTGTAGCACAATTAGACAAAATGAAAGAATCTGATATAACTGACATTTAGGTTTTACATAACTTGTTTTTCTTTGTTTTCACATCCCCTTTATTTCCCTCTATATTCCTCTCCTCTCCCCCAAACCCCTCCAAGTACCTGTAAAAAAACACCCACAATTATACGGAACTATAAGGCCCTCTGGGAGGGGGAGAGATCAATCTAGTCACTGCTTTTTTATTTTATTTTTTTTTTAAGGGGAAGGAAAAATAGTTCTGCAAAACTAAACCATTATATCAAAAAATTTGACATTATGTGCAGTGTTCCACACCCATGGTCCCTCACTTCTGCAAAGAAAGGAGGGCAAGTATCTTCTCATATTCCTTTGGGGCCAAACTCGGTCAATAGAAGGAGCGCTTATTAAGTGTCTGCTAGGTACAAAGCACTGTTCTAGGTGCTGGGGATACAGAAACAAAAAGGAGAACAGGCCCTGACCTCAGGGAACTTACATTTTGTCAGGGGACTACAAAAAGTGACCAGATAAGTAAATCCATATGAATTTGTGGAAGTTGAGATCGTTAACTACTGGGGGTTGGGTGGAGGCTTCCCAGAGGAGGTATCACCTAAGCTGAGCTTGAAGGAAGGCTTCTGAGAGGCAGAGGTGAGACACGACAGCATTCCAGGTCTGGAAAATGTTCATAAGGCTGGTAAAGCAGGCTGGAGCCAGGCGGTGAGGGGCTTGAAAGAAGCCACTTCCCTTCCCGTGTTTAGAAAGTCAGCTACTTTGTGAGTCTCAGCTGGGCCCCAAAATAAGGATTATTAGAAGCATCTGTGTTTCTGCTTCCCACTGAGAAATTCTGGTAACTGCTTTAGGCCAGTCCTAGCATGGCATGGTGGAAAGAATGCTCAATTTCCAACCAAATGTCCTTCATTTGAATCCTGGCTCTGCCACATACTTACCTGTGTGACCTTGGGTGTCAGCTAACCTCTGTGGGCCTCACTGTCCTCATCTTGGGAATGAGGGAGGCTGGATTCAGTGACCTCTAAGGTTTCTTAATCGAAATGTACAATTTATATTATATGAACTTTATATATGATATGCTCTAAATATATCATCGTATGTAACAGCTCCTTGAGATATATTGGCATTTAAATGCCCTAGCCATCTGCCCAGGAGATAAGCCATTCATATTCTATTTCGTTCAGTGAGCATTTATTAAGTGCCTATTTAGGAGGCACCATAGGGGACTCTGGGGCTACAAAAACCATATGGGAACAGTCCCTGGCCTCCCCTTCCACTTATTTAAGCCATGGTGGCTTCTACTAAATCCTTGTTTGGGGCAGTGGCAGGAGTTGGCCTTTTTCTCAGACCTGGTGATTGGGTACATGAGGTTTCTGGGAATTTCTTCTTGGAAAAGCATTTAGGTGATTAACGTCCAGCCAGAGTTTCACGCTCACTTGCTCATGGTGCTAGGTTGGTTCTTGGTTGTAACATCCTTTCCTGATAGTCTGCATCTAGCTGAGGAATAAGGAATATGCTTTTGAGACAGAGGTAAGCCCCTGGTTTCCATACACTCAGTGTGTTATGGTTTGCTTTCTCTCTGGTTGTCATGGAATACTGTCTTCCAGCAGAATGTAAGCTTCTTGAGGGCAGGGAGATGTTTCAGTTTTTGTCTTTGTATTCCTAGCACCTAGCTCAATGCTTGGCACACAGTAGGCACTTAATAATTGCGTCTCAGGATGAATCGAATGGAGGAAATGTTTTTATGTTCCTTTTTTTTAGTGGATCACTTAGGCTTTTTCATGTAATCTCCGCTAGGTTATCTGCACTAACAAAAGAGAATAGGGCCTAGATCATCTATGTGTAACTTTTGACTCTAGAATACATCCTCCTTTAATGTGACCACTTGTCTCTTAATTCTGTCCTGCTTTGTTGGGCTAATGATAAACTAGGTTTCCATTCTGTGGTCATGTGCCAGTCCGGGGAGGAGAGGGCTGTATGAGGATACATTGACTCACCTGCCAGCACGTGAGCTCTTTGAAGACAGGGAGCATGTCATTTTTGTTTCTGTATTCTAGTGCCTGGCATATAGTCAGCACTTGGTAAATGTTTGTTTTTTGATGGATTGGGAGGCAAAGAAAGCCCCCCCGGGGTCTGTCATTTGCTGTAGCTATGACACATGTGGATAGAGGATGTGGCTATGTGTTGTATCATTTGTGGGACGCTCACTGTGTTTGCTGAAGAGGGGCCACCAACCTAGAACTAATTCCTTCCCTTTCTCTGAGCAGCGGTGGCCTCATCGGGATCACCGAGCCTCGCCGAGTGGCTGCGGTGGCCATGTCCCAGCGGGTGGCCAAGGAGATGAACCTTTCCCAAAGGTGAGAATGAAAGCTTGGTTCCTTCCCGGCCTTGCAGGACCATTGGGGTAGGGGCTGGGCAGTGGGTGGAAGGAGACCAGAGCTTGGTTCTTTTGTATCCCTTTTCTATCATGAGAAAAGTTAGGAAGCTGTCTCTAGTTCACGGCCTAACCAAGTGCACATCTCTGGGCTCAGCACTAGGCCAGGCCCCTGGCAGGAGTCACAGAATTCCATAGTCCAGCCTGTAGCATGCCAGGATGCCCCAGCAAGTAATTTGGCAGCCAGGAGAGCTAATGGCGCGTCCTGCTGCATTAACTGAGGCATAACAGTTTGGAACAAGGAGGCAGTAGTCTCACCAGACACTCAAGCCGCGTCACTAGGATGGCATCCAGATCTGGGTCCACGGTTTAGAAAAGGCCTTGTGGAGCGGTTGTGCTCTGGAGAAGAGCAGCCAGATGGTGAAGGGCCACACGTGGTTTAGGTGAAGGCGCCAGGGGCGTTTGGCCAAAAGAAGGGAAAGAGGCAGGATGGAGAAAAGGTGGGGGGAGGGGGAGCTAAGGGCTGTCATGTGACAGACTGCATGAGCCTTAAGGCCAGAACCAGGGGAGCGGGGTCCAAGTGTTTGGGCTTGATACAAGAAAAAACTTCCTAATGATTAGAAGTGGATTCTTCTTCATTGGAAGACTTGAGGCAGAAGCCACTTCTCAGAATTTCAGAATTGCCTGGCTTCTGAGAGCCCATCTGTTCAGGGGGAGACCATCACAGCACATCCACTGAGCAGCGCTTCCACCTCTGCCTGAAGATGCCCAGCAGGCAGCACCTGCCATCTAAGGGTGGACAGTCTGTTGGGGGAGACGTGGGACAGGCATGCCTGAAGTTAGGGGAAATGACAAAGCAACGCGGAAGTGAGAAAGGAAGCTGGGATTGTTAGGGGATGACCTAGGGCTTCTGGGAGAGGATTTTTGAGTGGGGCTTGGGGGAGCTGAGGAGCTCTGGCTTCAGAGTCTGAGGGTGCCCCTTCCCCTGAACTCTGGCTGTTTCTTTGCCCCATGGGATCTGCTGCATAGTGAGGACGGGTGTTTCCCACGCAGGGTGGTTTCCTACCAAATCCGATATGAAGGCAATGTGTCAGAGGACACTCAAATCAAGTTCATGACAGATGGAGTCTTGCTCCGGGAGATCCAGAAGGTAGGCTGCTCACCATCCGTTCCGGCTCCTGGCTGGGTGATCGTTTGCATTTCTGTTTTGAGGTTCACAGAGTTCTTTCCTGCTATACATGTTGTCTCCTCCCAGTGGAACGTAAGCTTCCAGAGGGGATGTTGAGGGGTTTTTGTCTTTGTGCTGCCTGTGCCAGAAGCAGTGCTCAGCACGCATTAGGCATTTAATAAGTGCTTGCTAAATTGAATTGTTGAAATTCTAAGGAGAGAGCTATGTGTGGGGAGGAGGAATTACTTGGCGGTGGGGGTTATTGTACCCAAGAAGGTGCTTCTAGGTTGCTGCCCATGGGAATTCTGTCTTTCAGGAGGAAGGTGTTGCAGTGTGACCCTGGGCAAGTCACATAACCCTAATTGACTCACCAAAAAAAAAACCCCCACAAAACAGGAAGATGTTACTCTTCTCCATTTAGATGGAGCATGGTTTTTTTGGGGGGGGGGCAGATCATGAGTGACCAGCAGCTCCTAGCATGTTGTATGGGTACAGAGTTCTTTGACATAGAATTATTCCTGAGTTCCAGAGCCCAGGTTGGGTTTGGAGGCATGAATGTGTGCTTGGCTGAGATCCTGGTTACCTCCTCCATTCTGAGCGCCAAATTCCAGCCGTGGAATTGTATTGCCATTGTATTGAAGGGCTGCTGCCCACCATCAGTATCCAGCCCTGCAACCCTTGTACCATTCCTCATCCTGGCCTTGACATGGACCACCAGCGGGCATAGCAGGAAGGTCAGGAGCACCAGGGTTCAAACCCACCTCTGGCCCTCACAGTACTAGCTGTGTGACGCTGAGCAAATCACTTGACCTCTTTCTGAGCCCCAGTTTCCTCACCTGTAAAATGGGCACATCAGTATCCGTATTACCGACTTCCCACAGTTGTGAAAGCTTAGATGAGGTATTGGATATAAAACACTTCAAAAATTTCAGAGCACTATAGAAATGATCATGTTTTTAAATCACTATTATTATCAGTATTATTAATATCAGGCTCAGGGGCATGAGGGGAGACAGACCACCTGTTCTCTTGGTCCTCTAGGATACCTCTGTCTAACTCTGGGTCCTCAGCAGAGCAGGAGGCCTGGGCTTCGCCCCATGAGCATTTCATCCCAGTGGAAAGGTGGGATGGATTTCAGGAGGTGAAGAGGCTGGCCTCGAGGCCTGTGTTTGAGCCCATCAGTACTGTACAAAATGGGAGCCTTTCTTTGCCACACGTAGGTCATAGAATCATGGGAAGGGACCAGAGAGGCCTTTGGGTCCAGTCCCCTCGTTTTATGGAGGAAGAAACTGAGGCACAGAGAGGTTCCTTGCCCAGGGTCACATAGCTACTGTTGGAGGTGGGATCTGAACCCAAGGCAGAATGTATGTGATGATTCCCCTTTGAGAAGATACTGTTCTCATTTCAAATATTTATTATCAATTTATTGTAAAAGTAATTTTTTTCCAATAAATTTTAATCCTCACATTTAATAGTTTGGATGAAGCTGTTACCATGCACGCAGTAGTGGGCACATTTGTTGTTGTTCAGACATTCAGTTGTGTCCAATTCTTTGTGACTCTGTGAACCATAACACGACAGTGCTGTCCATAGGGTTTTCTTGGCAAAGATCCTGGAGTGGTTTGCCATTTCCTTCTCCAGTGGATTAAGGCAAACAGAGGTCAGGTGACTTGCCCAGGGTCACACAGCTAGTGAGTGTCTGAGGCCCGATTTGATCTCAGGTCTTCCTGACTCCATGCCCAGCACTCTATCCACTGAGCCTCCTGCCTCCAGCCTGACACATAGTAAGTGGTTAATAAATGCTTGTTGATTGATTGGTTGATTAGTGATCAGCCAAGTATGGCACAGTGGCCTGTCCATGAACTGGGAAGATGGCGTCGGGGCCAGTGAGACGAGGGCCTCCCTGCCCACAGATCTCGTGCTTCCTTCTTCTCTAGGACTTCTTACTCTCCAAATACAAAGTGGTCATCATCGATGAAGCCCACGAGAGAAGCGTCTACACGGACATTCTGATTGGCCTCTTGTCTCGAATTGTGTCTCTTCGGGCGAAGGTAGGAGCGCCAGGACTGGGTGGGGGAGGGGAAGGTGCTGGTCCTCGTGGCTATCCTCCCAGGGCTTTCTGAGGGCTTCCTTCCTACAGTAAGGAGCAGACATTCAGGTGGCGCTTCCGAGCTCACCCAGCACTTTACTTGTAGCATCCAGGTTTAGTGTGGTTTGTTTTTTTAATGCAATATTTCATTTGATAATCAGCATTGCACAGTGAATAGAGAGTAGACCTCAGAGTTAGGAAGACCTAGGTTCATGTGCTGCATCTGGCCCACCTAGGCTGTGTGACCCTGGACACTTAACCTTCAGTCACAGGTCATAGGATCTGTGACTTGGAGCTGCAAAACCTTGGAGGCCATGAGGTCCCCCTCCCTCATTTTATGGAGGAAACAGGCCTAATGATTGAAGTGACGTGCCTGGTGTCTGAGGCAGGATTTGAACTCAGGTTTGTTTTTTTTACTCCAAGTCCAGCGCTGAAAGGGCTGCCTTTCTAGCTCCAGAACCTGGAAGGGACCTTATTTTACAGAAGAGAAAACTTGAGGCCCAATGAGTATTTGAGTAGAACCAGTTCTGCTGATTCCAGAACAGTTTTTTTTGGGGGGGGTTAAGTGACTTGCCCAGGGTCACACAGATTTTAAGTGTCGCGTGTCTGAGTCCGGATATGAGCTTAGGTCCTCCTGACTCCAAGGCTGCAGCTCTATCTAGCTGCCCCTCTGGAACGATTTTTTAAAAGAATCATCAGTGGCTTTGGTCTTTCACAGCAGTCATTGCCTGGTATCAGGTATCTCTCCTCCCGCTGCCCTCTTCCCCCATTCGGACTTTTCTTTGTGACAGAGAAGAACAGTTTAAACAAAACTAGCAGTGTTTGCAGCCTTCTTTTCCTGTAGACCCTCCTGCCCCCACCCAAGAGGATGGAAGCATTTCAGTTAAGAGCCGTGTTTATTAAAAACCCTAACAGTCATCAATAGAAAATGTACAAACAGAGAAAATAAGAAACAAAGTCCCCCGAAAGCCATACTGTAAACTATTTACACTTGGCCAAAGGGGGGGGGAGCAGCGCAGGGAATGTAGCCTTTCCCTGGCCCATGAGGTTTGGTTTTGGTTTTCTGTTTCCCAGTGAAGATGACCTACTTACACGTGGAGAACACGTGGCCGTGTTCTTCAGTCACTGTCCCCATGTTGGCGTTTGTTGCCCCGCTTTCTCTTGACTCCTCATTCTGTGTCCGTTGGATTCAGCCAGCCCTTCTCAGGGGCCCCTGCGGGCAGAGCCCTGCATTGGGCCCTCTGGGGGGGATGGTCTTTAATTACCCCCTCCTGACTCAATCGTTAGTTGGAGGTAGACGATGGCTTCCCCCCACACGTTCTGGGTCCTTTGTTCAGGGTATGAGTTTCTGATTCCAGCACTAGGCAGGAATGCCTGATACTGAACCAGTGGAGCTTAGCAGTTGCTTGTAAGTAAGCCACTTGTCTCTGGCCTGGCAGGATTCCCACTCGCTCCCCTCTTGACTCCTTTGCAGTGCACGGAAGCGTGAGAAGGCAAGGGCCACCGGCCAGTGGAGGAAAGCCCTTTGTAGATTTGCTGCTTCCTTGCTTTATAAGTTGAGGTAGAAAACTGTGTTCTAGCTGACTCCTCCACAGCTACAGCTGTGGGTGGGATCCCTGTAGGGATTTGGGAATATCTAGATTTGTTAAACCATTTCTAGATGAGTGAACTAAAAAACAACTATTGAGCACTTACTGTATGCCAAGCTCTGTGCTAAGGGCTAGGGATACAAATACAGAAGCAAAAACAGCCCCTGCCCTCAAGAAGCTTACCTCATTTTTAAACTAGAGATTTTTGTTTATATGTTTTGTTTTCATATTGACTAGTTCTTCTCTTGGGTCACTTCCCCGCTCTCTTCCCGAAAGAGCCATTCCTTATAACAAGTAATTTTTTTGAGAGAAAGAGAAATTCAGCAAATCCAAACAACTCATCGAAAAACTGACATGATATTCATTGTTCCACCTCTGGAAGTGAGGGCTGCCCCTGTGTGAAGGAGCGGCGGGAAGAGTCTGCGCATATCTCTTACTTGGGGCCACTCTGGTTCCTTGTCATTTTGTACTTCCTAGTCTGGTTTGTTTTGTGCTCATGGTTCTTTCCATGTCTGT